CCCTTGGAAGAAGCTTTAGCGCTCTCCACTGCCTCTGAATAGACCTGAAAGGATGGTCTATGGTTTACTCGAAGGATAATATTGATTTCTGCGCGAGAGAATGGTGGTGCATTTGATCGTTGTTGGGCACACTACTGATGCATCCAGCCAATTCCACCAAACTCCAAAGGAAGGTGCACTTTAAGTTACTTCTTTCGGCGACAGAAGCTAAATATGAATAAACAATTATGCTAATCGGTATAAACATTAACATATACCAACTGCTCTGAACAGCGGCGGGAGATTGTATATAATTATGCCATTCTTTTTTTTTTAAATTGTTCTAACAATCCAAGCGGTTCGAGCAAAAGTACAACTTTTTCAATGAGAGTTTGGTATATAGTTTGGCTGGTATATCTCCATTTTTGTCGAACTTTCGATTTGAAGAACAATGTATCTCAGTAGAAGTTTGGTTTGAATTTTTCTACATGTTCTGAATGGTTGTTCCTTTTCCTTTCCAGGGCTATAAAGTTGTGGTTTTGTGGTAAATACCAACCGCCGTGATGCGGAAACAGTGAGAAGACTGACCCACGAACTCCTCCAGTTGAGAAAACTAGCGCCGCCATATTTTCACCAGATGCCCAGCCAATCTTTCAAGACGTCAAAATATATCATATCTGACGGTGCGAAAAAGCCCTTACCGGGGATGATTTAATGGAACAGTTTCCCCCTCATAAATCCGTTATCGGTGCTCAATCGGCTACCTTTAAATGGATCTCTCGGAGATCAAGCTATTTCTGTGTCCACAGTTCAAGTATCAGTAACGCTGAAAAGTTTAAGATAAATCATAGGATGAAAATTTACGCGTCGCCGACTGTATAAAGGAAAAGTGAGGCATGTGGTGGCCCTTTTTGCATGTTATCACAGAAGAAATCCAAGCCATTTAAATAAAAAACGTGTCGTCATTTCTGTATGTATATCACGACCTGGACCCATTGAAATACTTTCGCAGAAGCTGAACAGGCCTTGCGTTTGGAGGTAGCAAGTTTTCCCATACAGATTCTCAGAAATGATTTTGAGAGTTTAAGTAGCCACCTTAAGAAATGATTTTGGCTGGTGAGGAAACGCCAACGTAGACACGGCCACCCATTAACGTCCCTCCCAGCCCTTTTGGGGACAAAATTACGACCAGTAATTGGTGAGGAAGGGGCAAGGTATCGACCCACGTTCCGAGAAATCGATAGACGATCGACATAACTTTCGGGGAATCGATACCGTTACGATCCCACCCCTAGTGTAAATGTAATGGACCACTTCTCCATCAAGGCTAGGAGTGACGCGTTCATACCTGTGATCCATTTGGCACTGACGAAGATAAGAGAGCCCACCTAATAAAACAACTGCACCGTTTTAACAATCTAACTCAGAAGCGACCAGAAATCATCCACTCGACAGTTAAATTATTTCGATCGCTGCAGCGTGGGGAAACACTGTGAACTTCACCATAATTACAATTCATTTCCGAACAAGATCAAGAGAGCTTATGACTCAACTGAGTTGACTAAAGGGAAGAGCATGGGAAATATGAAGGAACAATGTTGTACTTTCAGGACTCACTTTTAAGTGGTGGAAATGCCAGGGAAAAAAATGCTTCACTGAGATTTCAATCCTCGGGCCACAAATGTAATTGTGTATACGGCACTCTGCCAAAAATCCACATCATGGACTAAAAGTGCATTGGCATCCAACGGCACTCTTCCAAGGGCTTGGGGAGATGTCTTATTTCGGTAATTTCTGGGATTAGAGAGAAGAGGGTTGTCAACTTTGCAGTATATCTTTTTGGGGGGGTGGGAATGGCTTGACGCTCGGTCAGGCAATTAATCACCGGCCATTGCCGGGAATGTTCACACCACCACGAGTCCTTATCAGAATGCCAGTTAGTCATTCTGCGCATTTACGAAAACACACTTTTGCAGGACGGTATCTGATACCAATCGCGTCTGCGTCAGAGCCGTGTAACGTCACATTAAAGGCTCTGTCCGGGTGTCATAGCTGTCGTAATTATCGTTTGTACAACAAATAAAAGGTTGGCATCGTTGGCCTATTCATTATCAACAACCCCACTGTGCACATTAATTTCGACAAAAGAATGGAACGCTTGTATGTCTCTCGTAACTACTACCTCGGTTTCCAAAGAGACTAAGCTTCCCCTTTAACGTCAAATGCCAGCCTTGTGAATATTCAACAGCTCTCTGCAACAGTGCTGTGTTTATTGGGTTAACACTTTTTCCCAAATGGAACAGTGTGATATGTCAACATTATGGTAGCGGCCACCATACAGCCGTTAAGGGCGATATTATCATGCCCATGCCACATTGGCGAGTTTTGAATATTTCGTTTAATGCGAAGTTAATGCAGGTATTTAGAAACGATTTGTAACACTTGGACAAGCAAAAAGAATTCATCACTTGCTGGTTGTACAATAAATACAGATTTGGCATTCTGAAAGATGTCGATTCAGCTTGGTATTACATGTATTAGGCCAGAAAAGGTTCAAACACGCATGCGGAATTGTATGATATGTAAACCATTCATGATGTAAAACCTGGGCAGGTCTACAGTCCAAGCAAAACATTCAAAACACCCGTATGCCAGGGTACTTTGATGTCCCTTCCACGCGCTGAGAGCTCGATCCATGTCACAACGGTAAAGTGCAATCGTTGTGACCGGCATAAAAACCCGCCGTAATAAGCCCCATTACAAAGTTCCATTATGACGCACGACGTCTCTGATTGGGCATGACATGCCGGAAGTCTTGGGTATTAGCCAATGGGAAGCGCGCTCACAAGCAACAAAGGAGAGCTGACTACGAGGCGCTTTGAGGTCACTCGGAAGAGGGGAACTAAAAATTGACCTCTGCTCTCTGTCTTTCAGCAGATTCACCGTCTGAGGATCAGGTAAGCAGCCGCGTTCAAAACAATCATGATTTCACAATCCCCGCTTCATTTTAATTATGCAAGGAGCATGCTACAATTAGCCGTCCAGCGTCTGGTCCCCAGACGTCACGTGAAATGAATTCATAAGCTGAGCTTCGATAAAATGCCCGTCCTCGGCAATATCCTGTGACCGGCTACAGCATTAATCAGAAGTTAGTAGATAATAATTTTTTGTCATTTTGAGTCCAGCGGCATGCGCTCTGCTTTAGAAAATGTCGAGATCGAGACGGGTCACTATATGTCTCGATTAGGCAAACTCCGCGGTTAATTTTTTTCAGAAGTGCATGCAAAACGACTGCATTAGGTTTAATTACAAATAAGCCAGGAACCCCGTAATCAAATTGAGCGGGCCTGTTTACTGTAACGTGAACTGCTGGGCCAGTCATTTCTGAAGAGAAACGGACTTTTAGTTCAATCAACGTGTGCCTGTGCTAATGGGAACACGGCTGTACTGTGAAGTTAAAGTATTGGAACCATTGAAAGGTGCAAGCATCATTTTACTGGTTTGAAAAGACAAAGTTAGTTGATCATGAATGAAGCGTTCCTTGTGTTACAATAGTTAGTTCTAAAAAGGACCCAATGCTCAAAAAAAAAATACGGAGTCCACAGAAACACAAGTCACATTTAACAAACCAGAGTGCCTTGCAATTTCTGTTTTTGGAAAAATTCCACATTTTTACTTGAGACATCTGCAAAGACGTTATTATTACGAAACTGGTATATAGTTTCTCACCTATTTCCGCTTCTGAAAGAAAAATCTTTTTAAAAAAAGGAGAAGACGACAGTGAAATAATGTGGAATGGCAAAAACTAGAGTAACAGCAAACTGCTATTTGCCCGAGGCCACTGACCCCAACATCAGACGATTTTATTTTCGGACAAATTTCTGACAAGGTAGAATTTCCGGGGTGCTGACCCTTCCGAGCAGGGGGTCACGGTCTGATGTTGGCGAGAATCGTCTGCCAATCATAACCGCAAATTGACGGGCATTCGTCAGGCCGGACTCGCTGACAAGCTGTCAGCTGCGCGCCGCCGGGGCTGCATGCAACGGACGAAGTTGTCGAGTAGAGAGAGGACTGCCGGGACATGATCGAGGAAGGTGTTTCATTTTCAAGGAAGCGTTCAAGAACTGCCGAAGTAAAGAATCTACAAATTCGAAGCCAGGATGTGGTCTCGCCATGGTCAGGCTGACACGATATTTGTTCTCCCGATGCCCAAATGAAACAGACCAAAGCTGTATTAACATTAGCACATTCAGCGTTAATCCTCGCGTCTTCCACACTCAACAAATTACTTAAGCTCGACCACGGCTCTCATGACACAAAGTGAAAACAAGCTGCCAGTTCCGACTTTGGTGCCATCCCCGAGAAGGTCCACGGCAGTTTTCCAATCGAACGGCAGTCTCCTATTGTGAAGAATAGTTCTACGAAAGGATTTTTTTTTCTCACACGCTGACTACTTGACCCAAAGCCAGCCCGTCGTGAATTTATTCTTATTATTATTCGGGGGGAGTGCAAATTCCTTGAGTATCCTTGACAGCCTTAAATACGACTTCAAGAGTGCAACTAATATAATTTCGATGAGTAAATCGCCGAAAAAAAAAGTTAACGAGCACCTGCGTCCGGCGGAGACTGTAAATGTTAAAACAGCGGATTATGGAAATATTGACAGTTGACATTTTCCAAGATTGAAATGTCAATTCCTAGATGAGAAAAATAATAGCGGCACAACCCTCCCACGCACAGAGCTAGGAGACGTTGGGAAATTCAGACCTATTTGCAAGTTCGAAATGTCTCCTTCTAAATCCTACGAAGTGCACGAATGTCATTAGCCCTAACAGAGGGCTTTTCTTCAGCAACAAAAAAAAATGAGTTGAGTGAAAGTACTGGAAAATCCTTAGGTTTTTATCAAACCTCTACACTATCTTTCTTGCTCATAATTAAGAATGTTAAGGAGAGGAAAAGTGTTGGTAATAAAGGAATGCACTGACACAGGAGTACTGATTAAACTCGACAGGAGAACTTACCGTGAGTATACGGGAAACAGTGCTGCGGTTCTATGCACGGGCCTGCTAGATATGTCGTGTATCTGGAGTCCCTATTCGAAGGCACGGTGGAACCAGATGTCAAGACGTTAAATAAATTCCGTAGCATCAGTCAGCCGGCACGGATGCTGGGTAAGTACGATCCAAAGAAGACACGCGTGGCAATATCTCTAGAGTAGATCAGCTGACGGGAGATTGGTCTGCGCAGTGGCGGTGTGTGTATTGCCCACGGGGTTTCCTCCGCGCACGGAATTAGGCCGCTGAAGGATGGAGGGAGAAGGCCATCGACTTGATACTCCTGAAGAAAAAAAGATGAGAAAGAAAAGGAAAGTGATGAGAGGGGTTACTGCTCATCTTCTGTCTGCAGTCATTAATTAATATGGCTGGGACTGCAGGATGCTAGTTGTAGGATGTTTGGCCAAGGCAGCCGTGAGTCTCTTTGGTTTTCCTCCCAGGAATCGTGCGTGTTGCTGGGGGAGGTCTGCATTTGTATCAACAACGGTGTGCACGTACAGCGCCGGTGGAGGTACGCCTAGACGGCGCGGGCGCGCGGGGTAATAGCCGGGAGAGACGGGCCGAGAGCCCAGGCTGTGCCCCCGTGCCGCCCCCGTCAAACCGTCCCCCCGGTGTACGCATATTCCACACGGCTCGCCTCTCGCCGAGACTAATGGGGACTTAATGAAATTTCTCCAGCTGAAAGGAGGTGACAGCTGCCCCCATGAAATTATAATGTGTTTAAAATACAGCGCATGCATGCAAAAAAAAGTGGCGTTCCCGGGCACGGTGCAAGGCATCGAGCGGGAAAGTGAACAACCCTTCTCCACTGCGACTTTGAAGAGAGAGTTTTTGCGACAGATCTATAAGAAGAAGTTTTTCACCCCTAAAAGTTACGTCATATCCTGACGAGTAGACCTAATTCGCATTGGAAACCCCGGGAACTGTATCTTCGTCAGACCTGACAACTCATAACCCAAATATTTCCCCCACAAAAACCAGCATTCGCAAATGAGTGATGACTGAGCTCGAGTTCACGTCCCTTCCGAATCTGACATACACCCCTCGCTGGCAATGTTCTCTGTTAACAGTGAAAAAGGAAAGACTTCTGGGGGCATGAGGAGCGGGGGATTGCGTAAAAAAGTGCAGTGCCACCGGCCGCGAACTACTCTAAATCTGGCAAACAGGACGCCACTAATCCTCACCACTCTCGATGTTTGCCGGAAAGTATATATGAAAAGATAATTCATTTTAGTCCAAGAGAAACCTACGCAGTGCACTCTGCAAGTGTGCTCCTCACCCCCAATTATTAAGCTGTTGTAAGAGTGGCTTTATGATTTGATACCTATAATCGGCTAAAGGTCCATAAACGTCGGGTGCAGTTTACGAAGCAATAAGTAGGTAATAGTATGCCATTCGAGAGGTCATCGTCATTTGGAAAACTGTAAACTCGAAACCAAAATCTATTACTATGTATGGGAGGATGTCATGCTTTCCCAATGATGGTATTCATCAGAATTTACCAAAAGCTGTAACTTGTACGAGAAAAGTCGCTGGGAGATGTGCTAGAACATAACCACACGGCTGAAACTAAATGTAATTAAGGGCATGCTGCTGCCACAACGCTATTTTTAGCACCTAAGTTCACCTGCAAAACATAAGCGCTATTTTTTTCTGGTGTCCACCATATTGGCTAGTGGTTGCCGGGGCGCAGGCTCGTTCAAGTAAATGCTGACATGAATTACCGGTGGCTGTAACTAGATCGCACAAATATCTCCCGCCATAATTCCATCATTTACGCCTGATTAAATCTCGGGGCATAATGGCGGTCTCAGCGGAGGACCCTGGAATCGAATTCTGGGCCTGCAAATCGAATTAGGAGAACCGAGCGAGACGGAGAAATGTGCGCGCCCAGTGTATTGTTTACGGGCCACCTTGATCGACTGGGTTCACAGGGCGCATGCGCAGCAGGGGAGCTCTGATTAGCAACCGTAGAGCGGGGTTAGTGGTTGCCATGGAGCTGGGCTACAGCATGACGTCATGATGGAACTCAGTGTCGTCATTTTGTAAAAGGGCTGGATGTCGACAAGGGAAGTCAGAAACAAATGGGACACTATAGTATTCAGCATTCAACTCTGCGGTTTAGGAACATCGTTATGCATTCCCTTCCGAAATCGATGTCAAGTAGAGTTCACATTTCCTTTTTTTGTTTCCGATTTTTGTGAGTAGCAGCACTGCCAACCAATTTCAAGTATCACATTGATTAATTTCAGGTCATAATGGAACACTAAATACCCTGAGATGTAATTCACGATGAAAAAAAGTCAAGAACAGAACTGAAAAGAGAGTGTTACCGCTAAACGATTTGAGACCGTATTGTCATGTTCTTCATTTAGGAACTTTGCGTTTCTGTACTAATCTCGGGTCAAAGGATGATAAATCCTTTGCACGTGCCCAAAGTTGCAGTAATTTGACCAGGTAACTAGCCGGTTGCAGCAACCTCCTAGAGCTGTACATGTAGAAATTCATGGAAGCAGGCGAGACGAAATAAATCCCGTAGGCCTGCAGGAAACAGTTGGTAGATCGATCAAGAACTTTTGAGAGCTCACGGGCAAAGAAAGATGCGCCTTGTGGCATTCTCATTAGAGAGAAGGATGGGTTTTGTCGCTAGGGGAGAATGGATCAATGTGACAAGCGAGCGGGGAAGGTGGACGAAGACAAGATAAGTCCAACTGCCCGTTCCCTGAGGCATTTTGTCGTTATTTCTACTTGTTCCCAATCGTATAGTGACAATGACTGTGCAATTACCTTCGGAAGACATTGAAGCAAGCACCTGGCCACGGTGCTTTGGTTGCGACATGCGGGATATCAATACTTGGGCAAAACATGGGTGGTCCCTATACCAACTGGTGGGATTATTTTATTGTCAAATTGAAGCCTGCACTTACACCGGGTGCAGCAAGTATGGGTTCAACATGGCGGGCTGTTGCACAGGTTGGCTCTGTCATCGTGTAGCGTATATAACCACGGCTGGTTGCCATAACGAATGACATATCGCGCATGGTAGTCTCATCAGCAGTGTGTGTTTTGAATTATCCGTGCAACTTAAAAAAGGGGTGAGCTGTAGTATAGGCTTGAAAGAGTAATCATCTGCAACAATAGCTTCGACATTGGAAAAGTAAGTGCGCCCTCAACGGTGTATAATAGCCATTCTGGTGCTTCATTATGCCAAAGCAAAAAAAAATAAAAATAAAAAAATGCGCCCCTTCCACACCAAAGCCAGTCTAAGTAGTAATAGAATGATGATTGATAATAATCCTCTCCCCAATGTAGGCTAGATATTCATCCTTCAGATTGACCAAAGAAAAAACATTTTGTGGGGTGCTTACATGAAATTTAAAATGTGCATTGTTCAAGTATCTATGAAATGTACTGTATCATTTTCCAGATAACTGCTTTTATTTTTCGGCCTAATTTTGATAGGTAAAAAAACCAGGCAAATCCGGAACAAGTTTAGAGAAAAATTCAACCTGGTTGGGGAGGGTGACTTGCTTCACTTTGTTTGGCTGTCAGCCGGGGCGGCCCCAGCCATATATCCCGCCGCCGGAAGCTGTAAAGACAGCTTCGTTCGCTCGCCACAGTGCCCGCCGACTTCGGGGGAATCACTTCTCTACGAGCGTCGCGCAGGTGCCAAGAATGACACCTCGGAATGCCATGGCAACGGTCCGAATAGCGGACCTCGCGGCGGGGTGAGCACAGGTCAGAGACGTTCGTCTGCATCTGAGATTAATACCATCGCGATCGCCGTGTGACAAAAAGACGGATATTAGGCTCTTCATTTGCGTCATATTTGACTTTTTGTCTCGCTTTATGTCCACACATTATTGATGCCGAACCTTTTAAGGAATGCTTGAGGCCAAAAGAATTTCGGTAAACAAATCCACAAGTCTCTGTCTGCCTTTTACGAAACAAACAGGTCTTTCAAATAGTCGACTTTTGAAATAATTTTAGTAGAATTTGAGCTCCATGGATGATTCAGCTTTCGTTTTAAGGTCAGTTATCGTGAAATATCAAGGCAGACAAATTTGAGACAGTTTATACTGTAAAATATGTTGTATACTGTCGAACGAAAAATGGGTGTGAAAATACTTCAAGACCTCATCCATTGAGTATTATGGCCAAAGTTTGAGAGAAATTTATCGGAGTTGAAGTAGTTATGAGCAACTCCGGTGGGCCAAAGAGGGGGACCGTGTTGAGCAACAATAATATCGTCAATTTGTTAAAGTAACTGTGGGTCTGATAAAAAAGCTGGCTTTTCCTGGCCAGGATTTTCAGACTGGCAGCGTAGGTCAAGAATTCGAGACTGAGCTTACGGGAAACCGGCTCCGCGGTAGAAAGTGCAATCGCGGGTTGATCAGCGAAGAAACGTGAACAGCTTCGACTTCATTTTCCTCAACTCGTTTAAGATTAATGGGGGCATGTTTATCTGTTAGAATCACCTTGAAGGCTTGAGTTTTCAACTAACCGTGGGCTTTCGGTTGTTATATAAGTGTTCGTATCCGAGCCACGGTGCTCAGACATCTCTTTTGATTCAATCTGAAAAGACATTTAGTGCACGTGAACTTTGAGGGTTTTTCTCGGGGATACAATTTCTTCTGCAAAATCAGGTTGGCGGTGTGCAGTGGCTTCAAGGTTAATTCTGCCTTTCCGACTTTGCCCTCAAATCTGGCGAAAAACAGGAAAATAGTTACTCCTTCCATCGAGTGAGTTTGACTGGGGCAAGAAAGTGCAAGCGGCGTTGCTTTCAGAAATTGCCAATGTTATCGTGAATGTTTACCAGAAAGGAAAAAAGCAATTAGGTAAATAATCGATTCTAGGTGGAATCACAGCATGGCCAGGTGCAAAAAAGAAAAGCGATTTGAGGGTTGGATGATTTATTACAGGTTAGCTTGCAATGCGTTTTGCAAAGGATAAGGGTGAGAAAGACCAGCATTCTCGCAAGGCCGCCCTCAATAGTTACTTCTGAAAGCACATTTTCGAACATCAAATTAACAAAATGGTGATTTACGTGAATCATTTCGCCGTACAATCGCAGATTTTTGGGAAACCTTGTTTTCAAACTCAAACTGACAAATCTCTGCTTTAGTTCAAGCATGATTCAACCCAGCAGCGAATTGTGAACATTTTACATGTCTATGTACATGTAATCCCATCACGTGTTGTTCGTGCTTCACAGACGTTGGTATATCGCAATGATGAACTCGTTATTCGCCCCGGGCGGGACCAAGAGAGGGCGCAGTTTTC